AGCAATGTCCTCTGCCTTCCTTTTTTAGACAATTCCTCCCCTTTCCCTTTCTCAGGGTGCTTTGTATATTAGGGATTGATATTCTCCCACTAGCTCCTTTAGTTTTTACATTAGGGGGGCAACCCACTATCTGTCTAAGTGGTGGTGAACCTTTTTACCCCTGAGCTTGCTCTTGAGCTGTATTCCTTTTATTTACTAAAGCCTCAAGGCTTTCCTTCCTTAAAGCTGAGTAGTTCTCCACTGCACAAAAGTGTCATGACTTTCTAACCTGTCTGCAGCTGCTGGACAAGTTGTCCTTATTTCTCTCTGGTTCCCTGTCACATAGAGCATTGTTTTCTTATCTTTGACTTTCAGGTTATTAACCCTCTTTCAGGTTAAGTGTATTTCCTATTCAGAGCATGTCAATGGATCGTGCCTCCTGATCTACTCTGCCTGTGTTTCTTTTTGTTAGTGTATCAAGGCTATCTATATTAGAGATTATAGCCCACCTTCTCTGCCTCATCTCTGCTAGTCTATTTTTCTGCTATTATTTGTCCAGTCTTCTCCTTCATTCCACTGTCTGCCCCGTTCATTGAGGCCTCTCTGCTACTGTTGCTGGAATCCTGGTATTTTTTTTTTTTTTTCTATCTCTCTCCAGAATGTCTTTCAGTATTTTTTGTAGGGTTGGATTGGTGGCCACGAACTCCCACAGTTCTCCACATCTTGTTTCTCCATTAATTTTGAGAGAGAGTTTTTCAGGGTACATCAATCTGGGTTGGAGGTTATTTTCTTTCAGGGCTTGGACTGCTTCACTCCAGGCTCTTCTTGATTTGATAGTTTGTGTTGAGAAGTCTGTCGTTATTGATGGATTTTCCTTTATAGGTAATTTGCTTCTTTTCTCTGACCAGTTTTAATATTCTGTTCTTGTGGTGAATTTCTTGATTATTATATGTCTGGATGTAGCTTTGTTTTGGTTGGAGTTGGTTGGAGTTCTGTATGCCTCATTTATCTGGATTTCATTTCTTTTTCCTGTACTTGAGAAGTTTTCCTTAATTATTTCTATGAATAGCCTTTGTAATTCATTTGTGGTTACTCCTGCTCCTTCACTCACATTTTTTATTCTTAAATTATAGATCCTCTTGTCATCTTCTAGCCTTTGTATTGTTACTTTCTGATTCCTTGTTACTTTTAAGAGGTCTTTCACGATCCCACATTGCACGTCTGTCTTCAAATTTTGAAAGGCTAACTAGTTTCTGTCAGGGCATTTTGCCAGCTTTCAATGGAGCTTTTAATTTCCTGGTAATCTCTTTGGATCTGTTTCATGTATTCTAGATTTTGTTTATATTCTTCACCAAAGGTTTCTCTTCTTTTTCTGGGTTCCTCCATTCTTCCATCTGTCTTCTTGAGAGGGGCTTAGCATTTCTTTTATTAATCTTTTTATATCTTGCCTCACTTGAATTAGAATTTCAGTTTTAAGTTCGTCTATGAGGTCATGAAGGTATTTATTTATGTCTGCTGATGTTGTGGCCAATATTGCATGATTGCTGCCCTGGACCCCTTCTGTATTTATCTCTCCTGGACTTATTTTTCCAGGATCAGCGGCTAGAGGCTTTTTCTTATTTTTTCTCTTGTCATGTTTCTGGTTTCTTTCAGACAAGTATATGGTGGAGGTCTCAGGCCCTCTCTGTATTGCTTACAGTTTTTCTAAAGTGTGCTGGCTGGGGGCTTCCTGCTTTCTCCAGTTTGCTGTTACCTGAGGTACATGCAGGGATGATGCAGGCTAGCCCCACTTCTCTGAGCCAGTCAACCCAGAGTGCCTTCAGTACCTTAGTCTGTGCTGTGCGGAGGTCACAGGTTCAGGACAGTTTTGTCCCTGACTATTGGGTCCCAACCAGGGGCATGACTCAGCCCAAGAAGGTCCCGCCAATCCTCTTTGGGCCAGGGGCAGCTGACTGACACCACTGCAGTTCTGGGTTCAGGCCTATCCTGCCCAAATCCAATATGTCCACCAGCTGACCCCACCCGCTGTGGGACCCAATTTCCAGCACTCACTGCGATTTAATGCAGTTCTCCACCTTGGCTCCACTCTATGCTGTGCCGCATCCTCCCACCAAAGGCCCCGGACTCACCAACTCCCAGTTTCAGAGGTTGTGGCTTCAGTGCAACCGTAAATCGTCAGACTCCATGGCACACCCAGCATGACACGCCCAGCACAGCGCGGGATAGGTCCCAGTGAGCGTGTGTGGTTCCAGTCTTTCATCCAGGTTTTTCCTTCCTTTCTTTCTTTTCCTTTTTCCTCAGTTTCTTCCTGGGTCGTGAGAATCCCTCTCCTTTCACCTGATCTTCTCCACATTGTTAAATTTTAGCATCTGAGTTGTTTTTCTCAGAGAGGCTCTCTACCCAGTTATCAAGCCACCGTCTTCCTTTCTAGCCCCACTGTAAGGTATTTAAATGATGCAGTTTTTTTCATTTTCATTCAGTATCAAAGACGGTTGGATATATTTTAAAGCTTTATTGAGGTTTCACGATTATATAATTTTGTCAGGTCGGGCCTTTTATCAGTAAAATTTTGCTTTTTATATGATGCTTTTGGATGCTGTCTTGACTGATACTTTGTTGTTAGTATTTGTCTTCTGTAACTTTTTCCTTAATTGTTTTATATTAATTTGTCTTGTCATACTTTCTGGCAGTACTTAGTAAGTTTTGGTTTTAAACAATTTGAAAATCTGCCTTTTTGATTTTTTTGAGACAGAGTCTCCTTATGTAATTCAAACTGACTTCAAACTCATGGTGGTTCTCCTGCCTGAACCTTCCAAGTGCTGGGATTACAGGCATGTACCACCATGTTTGGCAAAATTGTTCTTAATATGAAGATCTAATTTATTTTATTGTTGTTACTGACATGGTTGATTACTGCCTACCCAAGTTTTGCTTTCTATTGAAATAAGAGGATTGTTGAGATTGTCTCAAATGCAAGTTTTCCAACTGTCATCTTGATAGTTTCACCCACAAGGCCTACTCTACATAAAGGATTCTCAGCTGTATTATCTCTATTAGTTTAGTTCTGGCATACTTTCATAGTCCTAAAATATCTTGAAATATGTTTCAGAGTTGCTATTTAAGTTGTATTTCAAAGCTTTTAGCACCTGATTAAGTCTTTTTGACAAATGGACGATTTTGCATTCATTTATTCATTTGTGCTTATTTTGGTTCCTTTATCTTCCCTCGTGTTAGTTTTAAAGTACATATATTTCTTGTTGATACTAGTTTAAGTTGTCTGTATAATTCACTGAATTTGCATTCTTTGTTTCCTGCAAATCCTTATTTACACTATACTTTTTAAAAAGAAGTATAACTATAGTGATACTATAACAGAAAAGCAAAAGGTAAGTGTAATGGGAAAACCAAAAAAGAAAAATGAATTAAGTGGAGAAAAGAGTAGGTATAAGAAGATATCTTACTTGGCATCTCATCTTCTCTTTATAAGTAAGAGATACCTCGAGCATCGAACAACTTGGCCTTTCACAGATTATTTAAATTATCTTAGAGCCAGAGTTATAGTTCTGGGCACAGCACCTGCCTGGCAAACACAATGTCCTGGTACCAAAAATAAATAAATAAACTAACTATAATGGTAACTGCTTTTGCTTTTATTTTGTCAGTATTTACCTGTTCGAGGTATATGGAGTCTTGTTTACTACTACATTTTTAAAGTTGGGTGGTATTGGCAGAGAATAACCAAGTTTTATTTGAGGATGTACCACAAAGCTCAAGGAGCTGGTGGCTGGAAGCTGGGTAAGAGGCTTCATTCATTTACAGAGATGCTTCTCAAACATTTTCACAGCTTTCCTCAGTAGTTAATTCTTCAGGTATTAACTACTACCTGTTAAATACTATCCACGTGAATCTGTATGTGTGTGTGCATGTGTGTGTATATGTGTATTGAGTCTTCCAGAAAGCAGACTCTGGGGACAAAGATAGGAGTGTATACAAGAGATCTGTTGATGGGCAAATAACACATTTGGAATAACAATCATAATGAAGATGTTGAAGTGTTTATGCTGTATTTGGGATCTTTGTTGTGGTGGACTGGCCATTGCATTATAGAAAGTTACTAGTAACATCCTTAGTCTTTTTACCTGATGCTCATAACATCTTCTTTCTCCCATTCTATGACAGTCAAAACTTTTCAGGGGTAGGGATCCAGGTAATGGTAAAGTGTTTAGCATGTGTGAGGCCCTAGATTCTGTCACCAAACAGGAGGCGACATATTTCCAATGGCTTGGTATAACCACAGCCATCTTGGTCCCAACCACCATTTTGCCTGCCACATGACCCTGAAACACATCACAATCCCTTTAAAACAAAAGTATAGTGTTAGATGACCAGCCAAGAGTATTGTGCCAGCCATTACAGGCTTTTTCTTAACTGATGTTGGACATATTAACAGTGTGTGCTCGTGTGTGGGTCTAGGGAAGAAAAACAAGACATGAAAGTAGAAAGGGGACTGTTAGAGGAAGGTGAGAGGGCAGCTAAATACCATCAGAAAGTACATTATATGTGTGTAAAAAATGTTACAGTGAAACCCCATTATTTTGCAGAGTTAAGAAAAGGAAAGGATAAAAGTTTGGGAAAGGATAGGTACATTCCGGTTGCCTATAGCCAATCTTTATCTAGCTTAGCATATAATTCTCTTCCTCTTCCCTTTGGGTGTCGGGATCCTCTTGACTTGCTGCTCACCCAAGACCCCCTTCTGTTTGTAAGCCCCTAATACATTGTGTTATGTAGAGTCCCGGGTCTGCTTGCCTCTTTCTTTAGTCTCACAGCATCTTCCACCTTTGGCAGCCAGTTCTTATATGCTAGGACTGGGTATTTCTACAACCAGTAAAATTATTTTTGGCTGAGAACCATTTGGCTTATACCCATTACACTAGTTTTATCAATTTAGCATTTAATTAGGGTACCCTGAGTCTACTGTCAAATGTTGATTATGGTTGGTACTTGTTTTTCTCTTGTTTCAGAACTCTCTTGATAGAGCCCAGGCAGCCAAAAACAAAGGCAATAAGTATTTTAAAGCAGGAAAGTATGAACAAGCTATTCAGTGCTATACAGAAGCTATCAGTTTGTGCCCTACAGAGAAGAACGTTGACCTTTCCACATTTTATCAGAATAGAGCTGCTGCCTTTGAACAGTTGGTATGTACACTAGATTGTTTTATCTTTTCCGTTTTGTTTCTGTTTTCTTAAAGTTTCGGTTAATGCTGCTTAAATATAATGTGCTTTTATTTTGTTGTTGTTGTTTGTTTTTTTGAGACAAGGTCTTGCTGTGCAGTTCAGGCTGGCTTTGAGCTCACTCTGTAGCCCAGGCTGGTCTCAAATTGCAGTGATCCTCCTGCCTCAGCCTCCCAAGTGCTGGGATTACAGTCCTGTGCCACCCACGCCTGGCTCTAATTTATTTTCGACAGTGTTTTGAAATTAGTAAGATTTTTGTTTTTCTTTCCTTGAAAAACATTTTAAGAACAAATATTACTTTTACTGGTTACAAATAATAGCCCATTTATAAATATTTTAGCTTTTATAAAGTTAGGTAGTATAGAAAATTAAAGTTCTCTAGTAGCTCTTCAACCAGTTAAGGCTATTCTCCAACTTTTTTCTTTCCATTTTTGTAATAGTTACATATGGGGTAGAGGGGAAAAAAAGATGATTTCCTTTTAAATCTTGTTGGTGATACATTTTTTCAGGTCATCATATGCCAGTCAGTTTCACTTTTTAAAGACCATCTATAGAACCATTGTATGTTTATATAGTGGAGTAATGGACAGAACAGCAGAGAAGAGAATCCTATAGAAGAAATAGTATGTATTAAACTTCTGACTGAAAGAAAGAGTTTGGCATGTTCAAACAGTAGAAGAAAGATGAAATTGGATTTGATTCTGAGTATACTAGAAATCCTGGAGAGTTTTAAGCAGGGCAAGAACATCATTTAAGATGATCAAATGGTTTTGTTGAAAATATATTGGCAAGGGCGAGAGTAGGGACAGAACAAATAAGGATTTTGGGGTAACTTAAGTAAGACACAAAGAAAAACTGAAAATCAGCAGAACTTGCTGTTGCATGGATGTGAAAACAGAAGTGATGAAAGATTTTACTACCAGAAGGTAGAAACTGAAGTAGGCAGTTATAATGAGAAATGTCTATTTTAGGAGAGTGGTCTTGTGCTTCAGATAAATGTCAAAATCATCTATAATTTTAGCTGATATATGAAAATCAGTGTATGTAATTACCTAGGGAGAGACAAGAGATGAGATCTTAAGGATTTCATGATGTAGAAATCAAGGAAAGGAAGAGAATTCAGCAAAGAAAATTGAGAAAGATAGTAAAGTACATGGAAATGAGATAAAGCTGCAAATCTAGAGAATTAGTAATAAAGAGGTGCTGACATGTGGGGTAGTTCTAGGAAGTTACAGAATTAAAGGAGAGTTTTAAAACATGGAATATACAAGAGCAAGTGTTTTTATATTTGTGAGAATGGCTCAAAACAGAAACAGATTATTGCCAAGAAGGAAGAGCTGAAAGAATGCAGTCCATGGGCAGAGAGGACACAAAATTAAGATCACCAGTAGAAGGTTGACATTTGATGAAGATGGATGCAGCCTTAGTTTTAACAGGAGCAAAGAAAGAAATGGTATGAGCACAAATTACAGGTAGGTTTGGAGGCAGAAAAATGTCCAGAGTATGTTCATTGCCTGTTTTTAAAAATCTGGTTTTGTCTTCCTTAAACTTACTTATGTGATGTTTTATATACATATATTATAAATAGTAACTCATTGTATTTGGAATACTTTTTCTATTGTGGGGCTCTTAATACTTGGTCTGTCAAGTTTGGAAATCTGTTTTCTGTTGAGCAGTACTTTTATTATTGTGACTCTTAAAATTTTTCATTTACAGCAAAAATGGAAGGAGGTGGTACAAGATTGTACAAAGGCTGTTGAACTTAATCCCAAATATGTGAAAGCTCTCTTTAGACGTGCAAAAGCCCACGAGAAGCTAGACAATAAGAAGGAGTGTTTAGAAGGTGAGGGTATTTTTGTGTTTGTAGATAAAAATACATAAAGGTTTTCTGGTCATTATAAATTTATATGAAATTCTCTGCCTTATGAGTACAGAAATCATATGTCTTTAAAAGTTGTACTTTTTTCTAGCTGAGATTGTTTGCTAGTTTCAAATGAAACTTGATTTTAAAGATTTGGAATTTATATATCACACATTTTAAACATGGCTATAACACCATGAATAAGGGAATCAGAAAAACAGGCTTAGCAAGTGATAGTGTTTCTACTTACAGCCAATATATATTTTAAGAAATAAAATAACTTTGAGAGGAATCATTTTTAAAAAGTTGCTTTTTGCCCTTAATATATTCGAAATTCATTTTTATACACGATTGTAAATTATGCAGTTGGTACAAAACATCAAAGTGAATTTGTCATTCTCAGTAGATGCTATAAATATTTGTTTGGCATACTCTAATGACTGTGTCTGTCTCCAAAACTGCAATTAGAGTATAACCCATGGGCTTTTAAAGTACATTTTTCTAGAAGACGTGAAGCTACAATCAGTGTGGCATTTCTGCAAGCTAAAACTGCTTTTCACTACATTTGTAAGTAACTTTTTCGGTACGAGAGATCACACTCCAGAGTCTTGTGAATGCAAGCTCACCTCTTTCATTGAATTACATCCCTAGCACAATATACCATTTTTTAAAAGGCAAAAGCTCTAATAAGGCCCTGGGTCCAATCTCCAGCACTGTTTCCCTCAAAAAAATTTGTTTTTCATTTCAAAGCCCCTTTTGAGAAAAAAAAAATCTTGGATTATCAAATGATAAGATTCAGAGAACATTTTAGCAAAATTTGAAGTTTTGTGGTGTCACACAGAGAATCCTAAGTTTGGACGAGACCTTGAAGTACTAACAGATAGTAATTGGCAGGAAGGAAGTTGATTGGGGTTTCAGAGAAAAATGGGACGAGAAAAAGGCATTGACATTGGTACTAGCTAAAGTTACCAGCCCTGGACATACGAGTTTGGAGGTGCAAGATGTGAAGGGGGAAATTGAGTTCAAAAAGAGAAGGAACAGTGATTAAATACTTATTTGAAGAAAAGTTAAGAAATTAAGGAAGCATATCTTTTAAATTTCAAATCACTAAACTATGCGTGGTGGTGCGCGCCTCAGAAGGCTGAGGCAGGAGGATACTTGCAAGTTCTAGACCAGTCTGAGCTACAAAGTGAGCTCAGGGCCAGCCTGAACTACACAGTGAGACCCTGTCTCAAAAAGAAAATTAATTAATTAATTGATTAATTAATTTTAAGTCACTGTTTCTTGAGCTGTGGCAAAACTAAATGGAAATGGTTACTGATCAGAAGAGTATTTCAATATGCCTTGTTTTATTTGCTATTTATAAAATGTGAGAGCAATGTCAGAAATTACATAGCACCAACCTTTTCATAGGTGAAGGAAATTAATCTCAGAAAGGGAGAGACTTGAAGTATTGATAATCAGTTTTATTCAAAATGAAATAGCACCACCAGGCTATGAATTTAGTGACTTTCTGTATTACCTTGTACCTGTTTGTTACTTCTAATCATCTCTGCACTAATTTCATCCTTATTTTTCCATCATTTCTAGATGTCACTGCTGTGTGTATATTAGAAGGGTTCCAAAATCAACAAAGCATGCTGTTAGCTGATAAAGTTCTTAAACTTCTTGGGAAAGAGAAAGCCAAAGAAAAATACAAGGTAAATTAATTAGGATTGTGAAATAGTGTATATATTTGAATTTGAGAATAATGGCTGTGGTAACAACTGAAATTGAATGGAGGCATACTTTTGTGGCATATTCTTTTTCAGTAAGGGTGTAGGCTGTGTCCATTACTGTACTTGGGGAGATTAGAATTCATCCATGTTAAGGGTGGCCTCACTGTGACTTATAAGCCATCTGTTTTTGCAAACAATATTCAGCCACGCATATATTATTTTTGGCTGCATTTGACTAAATAAAGCTACATGGTTGTTACAGCAGACAGAGACTTTATCACTGGGAAAGCCTAAATTATTTATTACCTGACCTTTTATAGGAAAATATTTGCTAACCCCTGTTGTGTATTACTAGTTTTTAAATTTATATTGTGTAAGTGGACATTTGTTTTAAGGTATTAGTAGTGGGTAGTTTAATTCAACAGACTATTATTAAAGCTCCATGCAGAAAGGAATGGGTACAAAAACATGTTCCCTTCATATAAAATTAAAATTTAGCGAAAGAGGCTATTACTCTGTATAAAAGACCTAATATGGCCAATGTCCAGTGAGAGATGTAAATACAGAGAATCACTGTCTTCATCACTGAAGATTCACTGCTGAATGTCAGTAATATCAAGGCTGTTCTTTTTTCTTTCTAATGACTTTTCTCTTAAATGGATTTTAAGTTCCTATCTATGACTGTTAACACAGTTAAACTGTTAAAACAGGCTTCTTCACTGTGGAAATTTAATGTGCTGGTTGGGTTGTGAATCTCCAAGAGCAGTGATGACAAACCTTTTCAAGACCAAGTGCCCAAACTGTAGCCAAAATCCTATTTATCACAGAGTGCCAACAGAGTGCATCACTGCCCAAATTAGAAAAGCAACTCATACATTAACATCTTTTGTCTTAAATGGGAGACACAATAGCACACGTACTATAGGTTTGCCACCACTGTTGAAGAGAAATATCACCCTAGTAGCTCAGAGGGCCAGGGATTCAGCTCAGTGACTGGTAAGTGCCTGCCTGACAAGTGCAAGGTTGTGAGTTCGATCCCCTGTACCAAAAAACAAAACAAAACAAAAAAGTAGTAGCTCAGAGTCTCTGTAACTGTGGATGGGATGCTGGGAGCGCTGAGATTAGAGGTTTAATAACATTTCACATGCAAGGGATAATCAAAAGATGCCGTGAATGTTTAAAAATTTTTTTCAAAACTTACAGTAGACAGTACCAATAGGAATGACAAGTTGTGTTCTGAGTGAAGAGTATTTTGAGTATTGTGAGGAGCATCAATGGCAGTGTGCCTTTCACTATAATCAGTTTTTAAATTTAAACATTCATCTTATTTTGTGACCACACAGCCCTTTGATCAAATGTTTATGGTAGTTTCTGTCAAGTAAAAATGTACAGCTTGTCTTCATCCACCTTATTCAACAGATCTGGCACCATGTGACTCATGGCTGTTTTTCCCCAAAAGTCAAATGATCATGAAAGGTAAATGTTTTGAATTAGTTCAGGTATTGAAACAGCTACAAGAACGCAGTTAGACACTCATGAAGATGAACTTCCCCAGTTGCTTCAGAAAATGGCAGGACTATCAAGGTCCTGAGTTTGATTACTGATACCATTTAAAAAAAAAAAGGAAAAGAAAAAAAAGTGGTAGGAACAGTTAGGTAAATGTGTTCAAAGTGAAGAAAGTAATTCAAACATTAGTGTCACTAAAGTTGGTATACCACAACCCCCCCCCCACTGCTAAATTTGACTGGCTTTAAAAAAAAAAAGTAATTCAAGGGGGATGAATTGCAACTGTTTTTTGTCATACCTCACTGAATAAGTGTCACAACTAGAAAGTAACCTTTTCATTTGTTACATAAGTCCATTACCGGAAACATCATTTTAAACTATAAATTTATAACCCCGTGTGGAAGATAGAGAGGCAATAGCTTTGTTTCTAAGCTAAAATAAGTAACTAAAAGACTTCCATGATTTACTCACTTTCAAGTAAATACTGTTTAAATTTCTATGTAAGCTTTTCCCATTAAATGATATAAAGGAATGAAATTTTTTCTTACAGTTCTGGACATGAAAAGTCCAATATCAAGTTAGTAACACCTGGGGATGGCCCTCCTGCTGTACTATCCCATGACAGAAAGGCAAGAGATCATAAGAGCAAGAGTTTATTTTTATAATGAATCTATTGTCTTGATTTGATAACTAAACCACTCCTGGGTATTGATACTAATCCATTCATGTAAAGAGAGCCCTCATGACTTCATCCTACACATACAAGACATTACATCTCTGCCAAATAGTAATGCTATTTGTTATATATAATATTTTAAATATCCTGTTTTCAGCCAGAGATGGTAAAATTCCAGCACTCTAGGAGACTGAGGTGGAAGAACTGTAAATTCACTCCCAGCATGAGCAACTTAGTAAAACTCTTGTTTTGAATAAAAAATTGTAAAAAGGTAGCTATGTAGCTCAGTGCAAAGGTCCTGGGTTCAATCCTTGATGCTGTGTAGTATTTTATTTTTTATTTTAAGCTCTTTATGTATTGAATTTTGTAAATTAAAGACCCAAAGATGACTATTATTCCCTCTTTGTTTAAAACTTTTTAAAAATGCTACTTTACAAACAGGAAAACACTCTTGTAATCATGAGTGACGTAGCCATGTCAAAAAGAGGAAATTAAAACAGGAAGTATGATTAAGGTATGACTTGTAATGGCACTTCCCTATAATGCTGATCTTCACATGCAAGCCTAGAGCAAATGGATGTAACATTTTTTTTAGCATCTGTTTAAGAGCTGTTTTGAACTGTTGAAACTAGCCATTTCTACTGTCTTTGTCCTGTGGGGTAGAGTTTAACATTCTTCAGTTATTTGAAAATGAAATTTCAGTTTTTACAGTAGCTATTCTTACTGTTCTTTAGCATACCTACTTCTGAGATTGTTTTTCATTTTGATAAATATAAATATTAAATTTCAGAATCGTGAACCTTTGATGCCATCTCCACAGTTTATCAAATCTTACTTCAGTTCCTTCACTGATGATATCATTTCTCAGCCCATGCTGAAAGGAGAGAAATCTGATGAAGATAAGGACAAGGAAGGAGAAGCTCTGGAAGTAAAAGAAAAGTAAGTATCCAGGCATGTTATCTCCTGAATGTTTTTGTTTTTTATTTTGTTGTTGTTTGTTTCTTTTGTTTTTGTTTTTTGCTGCTGCCATGAATCTCCCCTAAGGTTCAGAGTCACCAAAAAAAAAAACAAAAAACCTCATCTCCAGGTAGATATAAATATAATAAATTATATAATAATAACTAATTATTGCTAGGCATGGTGGGACACACCTGTAGTCCCATCAGTTTTGAAGCTGAGGCAGGAGGATTGCTGTGAGTTTGAGGCCAGCCTGCACCTCATAAGAGAGTTTAAGGCTAGCCTGCAATACATAGTGAAACCCTGTCTCAAAAAATAAATAATAGTTATAATACTTTAATTGTTTTAATTATGTAATAAAATAAAAATACTTTCAAGCATATGTCTGTTATTCAGTGGGTGTTCAAAAATCTACCCTGCTTTCGCAGTCCTGCATTGTGATTCTCAAGAGAGTCAGTTGCTTAACTATTTGAATAAAGGCAATAACTTAAAAATTAATTATGTAGCTTAACATTTAAACGTTTTAGTGCACGGAAGATTTTAACAATTATGAGACACTTAGAAGTACTTAAAGTTTAAATTTCTTCATGGTTCTGCTTCCCTACCAAAATGCCATTCTTGAACTTCTTCTGTTTAATATGTGGAAATGTTTTTGTTTGTTTGTTTTGTTTTTTGTCTTTTTCATTTTTATCAGTACCGGGGATCGAACTCACAACCGCCTGCTTGCAAGGCAGGTGCTTATGCCGTTGAGCTAAGTCCCAAGCCCGAGATGTGGAAATGTTTTTAATACCTACCATTTGTGTTCTAAGTAGGAACTTTTTACTTCCAGTTTGATTTGATAGCTGTTTCTATTTTCTTAGCTTGGTAACCTAAAGAACAAATAAGGAATATTATAATGTAATTACAGGAACACTTAGTGCATAGTTGTAAGATTTTGGTTGACAGAACTTTTCTTTTAAGCCCTTTACTAGCCAGTTTCTTTACACAGAATATAACAACTAAAATGAGAATTTGTACTTTAATTTCATGTCTTCTTCCTTAACTTATATCCTGATATATCACTGAGAATACATAGGTTAAAAATATATTTATTCTGACCCACGCATCAAAATACTTGCTACTTGAGCATCTAAATTTAGCAACATATAGAGTACACTGTGATTGTTCACCTCCTTCTCGCGTGGCTGACTAGGAGCCATGACTTGCTGCCACTGCCCAGTATCACACAAGGGCATCATACCACATATTGCCAGCCCAGGGCAAAATCAAAATTCAAAGTATAGTTTCTACTGAAACATACCATTTTCATGCCATTTTGAAATCCAGCCATTACAATTAGGAACTATATATATTAGAAGATGGCTCAAAGATCATCTAGTATAAGTTTTTGTTTTGTTTTTATTTTCAGTTAAAAATTCCTTCTATGAGCATCTCCAGTGAGTTACTATCTTAAAAGAATAAAATTGTACTCATATTTTAAAAATAGAGTTGTTTTTTAAAGATCTATTTAATACAAGAGTTTTGTTTTAAATTTACTTTTTTGATTCACATATGTATGAATTCTAGGTCTATTTAGGCAAAACAGTAAATCTGTGAGAACTCTTCTGTATTTCCCTGTCTCCAGTCATACTCTTTATTCCATTCTCTACAAAAGAATCTTTACAAAGCACAGTTCTGATTACACCTCATTTGGCTTATATTGCACTAAGCTCATTTATTTCGTATTCTTCTGTTCTTGTGTTATTAAGTGCTATTATTAATGTGCCACAGATGGGGAGATGAATGAGACAGGATCCTTTATCCATGATGTCTCTCTTTCACTAGCTTACTTTTTCACATATTTGTCTAAGCCAAGGTGTTAAGCCAGGTTTTGGCCATGGGTTCTGTTTCATTTTAAAACTTTCCCTACACTGCATCAAAAACTTCCCAACCAGCTTCAGAAATCCTGATAGTTTTTTTAACCTTTCTCCCAACTAGTTCCACACTGGCTGATTAGCTTTATTAAAGGAAAATGGACAATTGCCTAACTTGGGCATGCTAAATGTGACAAGTTTTAACATTTGATTTTTTTCTTAGTAAATAATTTCCTGTTGTTTTCATTTTCAGTTCTGGATATTTAAAAGCCAAACAGTACATGGAAGAAGAAAACTATGATAAAATCATAAGTGAATGCTCAAAAGAAATAGATGCTCAAGGAAAATACATGGCAGAAGCATTATTACTCCGAGCTACCTTCTACTTACTTATTGGCAATGCCAATGCTGCCAAACCTGATTTAGATAAGGTCATAAGTTTGAAAGAAGCTAATGTGAAGGTACATTTTGAAATGTTCGCGCATGTGAAAAAAATCAATAAGTAGATCTTTTGCCAGATATGTTAGCATTTCATGTGCCATTTTCCAAAATTTTGTTTTGGAAGAAACCTAAAGATGAATGTGTTGGTGCTATGAATCTGAAATATAAATGTTAATATTTATCTTCAGCCAAGAAAGTAAAATATTTTTCCAGAAGTTTCAGCTTCCCCTTGTAGCCACTACCTACTGCACTGGACTGTTTGGATTATACTAAGGGCAATAATGCTATAAGTAGTATATAAAAAGTAGTTCCAGATTTTAAAATATACTTACAAAGAATAAATACATTGGCAGTATATTCAGAAAGATCTTACTACATGAAGAAAGAAACAGGCTCTAAAAATATGCTATGTAAAAATACTAAAGTTTTTGCAGTTGTGTGGTTGAAATAGCTTTTCATTTTTCAAGTGTTTTTAATGTGTATGTAATGATTTCCATAATGAAGATTCAGTGGGATCTATTGAGTTCTGTGATTTATCTTCACAAGTTTGTCAGCATTTCTGTAGCCTGCTGCCTTCTTAAGTGAACTCTAGCTTTTTTCTCTTTTAAGATGAGCCATCTATGTGTTTGGGGCCTAATCTTTGTTAAAAGTTCATCTCAAAATTATATTTTCAAATTGAAAATGCCTCATAATATTAATTTTGTTTCTTCTGATTTTCCTGATGACTATAATTACTGTATTTTGTTGTGGGTTTTTGTTATAATTGTGGAAACCACTGCCATATGTGTTGACATGTATAATCAATGTTGATATATGTATACACACAGTCTGCCAAAAATATGTGTCCATACTTCTGGAAAATAAAACTTTTGTAACTATTTTAATACTAAATTTATTGAGACATCATGAAATTAGGACAAGCTCCCTTTTGCCCCTTCATTTACCACAGGTGCTCAGAGTGATGGCCATTAGCTTCCAGGTGTTTATTAGCACAGCAACTGCTGCTTGGGTAACCTTGATCACTGAGGCTGCTGTACGTGCATTTGAAATTTCTTCCCTAGAGACCAGCAGTATCGTGGGTTTTTTGTGATACACGAAATCCTTTAGGCTCCCTGTATGAGAATATTTATTGAAAAACATCATACAAATTTTCTTTTCCTGAAGTAGTATATATACATTTTTGGTGGAATGTATGTATGTATGTGTGGTACTGCTCTGAACAAAATTTACAAGTAGTAATGATGTCTCTGATGTGTAAAAGTTAACACAAAATGGATTGAAAACCTAAATGTAAGAGCTAAAAATGTATAAAACTCACAGAAGACAACAGAGTACATATTTATTACTTTGTATTAGGCAAGGGGTTCTGAGATAAGATAACCAAAAGCATAATTGCTCCTCCCAAAAGTTCAAAATAAAATTGAACTTTGTCAGAATTTAAACTGTTTATGATTGAAAGGACACCATAAAGAAAAAACACCTTTCACAGAATAGGAGAAAATATTCATAAATCACTTATCTGATAAGGAGATTATAATACAGAATTCAGCAATAAAAAGGCCTTAATTTTAAGTAGGCAAAGGGTCTGAATAGGTGTCTTCTCATAATATATACAAATGACCAATAATAACATGAAATGATGCTTAGCATCATTAGCCATTAGAAAGTTATAAATGAAACCACTGCAAGATACAACTTTAAAAAGAACAATTCCAAGTGAGGACATGAAAAAGAAAAACATCCTGCACATACCCTATTACTGGTGGAAGTGTAAAATGTTAAAACCTCTTTAAAAATTATATGAACGGTTTCTCAAAAAGTTAAATATACATTGTAACCCAGCAGTTCTTCTCCTAGGTATATACCCAAGAGTATTGAATATGTATGTAAAGGCAAAAATTTGTACATTTATGTTCATAGCAGCATTATTCACAATAGCTAAAAGGTAGAAGAAACCTAAATGTCCATCACTAATAAATGTATAAAACATGGTATATTTATAAAATGGAATATTCAGATTTAAAGAATTTAGTACTGGGTTGGGGATTTAGCTCAGTGGCGTAAGCACCTGCCTTGCAAGCAGGCCGTCGTGAGTTCGATCCCTGGTACCGATAAAAAGGAAAAAGACCAAAAAAAAAAAAAAAAAAAAAGAATTTAGTACTAATACACATGCCATAACATGGGTGAACTTTGGGGAAATAATGAAAGAAGCCAGATAAAAAGGCTATATCCTATATGTAACGTTCAAAATGTTAAAATCTATAGAAACGGAAAGAAGATTGGTTGTTTCTGTGGTCAAGGGAATGAGGAGATTTCTTTTGGGGATAATGAAAATATTCTGGAATTAGTGGTTATTGTAGTCAGAGTTTGTAAGGAAAACAATTTAATACAGGACACATAATTTATAGAATTATTTTATAATAGTCACCCAAAGAGTCAAATACCAAAAAGTACAGGAAACTTGCCCATACACTGAGACCCAAAGAATCCAACTGAAGGCCTAGATGCTGTGGAAGTATCCTGCATGACTCCAGCTGAAGACCGAGAGCCCATGATAATGCCTCATGAAAGTCTGTGCCAGCGGGATAAAGGATCTGTGCCAGTAGGCAGAGCAATCTGTACTACAGCCAGGAGGCCATGCTCAAAATAAGGACCAGAGCTCCCTGAAATACCATAGCCATCCTCAGTGGAGAGGTCCTGAGCTCCGATGATGAGAACAGCCAAGATTGCATCAGGAAGCCAGTGTGACAAGCTTCTCCAGCAGACTGAAGAGCACACTATCTTCCCTCCAGAGCCAGGAATCCGTGCTCCAAGTGACGACCAATGTGCCCCCAAAGTGAACTGCAGCCATTCACGGCAACAACAAGGTCCTGAGCTCCTCTGTCAGTGAAAACAGCCAAGTTCATATCAGGAAAAAAGCTTAACCAGCTCCTCCAGGAAAACTTAACAGCAACAGAAGAACCAACACTACCACTTCCTCCAGTTCTTTTTAGTTGGCAACAATCCTCAGGTGGGCCATCCACAGCCAGCACCATGCTGATTCAGTTCAGCTGGGTGGTACAAGTTGACCACCTGTTGTCATTCCACCATCATGGTGATCACGTGGAAAAATCAGGACCAAGTCAGGTGGAAGACACACAGGCACCAAGGAGTTGGAAGGCAACTTTGCATGATAGGAGCAGGCTGGGGGAAACTGAGTTCCAAATCATTAGCCCCGCCTGGAGATTAAACAGACACACTTACGTTTTAGGCAAGAAGTACAGAAAGCTGATAGCAGGTTATTTTATAATTAGTTACATAGGCTGGGTCACATGTTTTTAGGCAGACTTGTTCTGGGCTGAAGGGGATTTCTTAAGGTCCGGGGCTTGCATGAACAGGAAGAATCATAGTCTTTAATTGATCCAGTTTGTCCTTGAAGCAAGTTAGCACAACAAGATGTACCTTCTGGTGGAGCTCTGTCTTATCTTGCAAGTTACAGCTGGCATGGGAGATTCCCAGGCTGAGTCTAAACAGTCTGGGCCTGCCTTTCCTGCTCTTAATATACTATCAGGTTATAAGCTTTAAAATTTCCTTTACAACTGCTTTTAGCATATTGACCTTACTAAACATACTAAAGGCAGTTAGCATGTACATTTTAAAAGATGAACTTTATAGTATGCAAATTATATCAGTTTATTCAAAAAACTAAATATTCAACAAAAGTAATGCTGACTCCTTTCTCATTTGGGGCTCTAGCTTCGAGCAAATGCTCTCATCAAAAGAGGCAGTATGTACATGCAGCAGCAGCAGCCTTTACTGTCTACTCAGGACTTCAACATGGCAGCAGACATCGATCCTCAGAACGCTGATGTGTATCACCACCGAGGGCAGGTCAGTCGGTTTTTAGACCTAACGTTCTGATATCGGGTTCAAGCTGTTTAATGGCATTTTCTTGTTATTTCACATATTGTAGTTTATAGTGCTTATTAGCCTTTATTTCTGCCTTAAATATTTGTCTGCATAATTTTGTTACCTGTGGAAAAAAGAAGCAAAACATTGATTGCCAGTATTTTGGATTTATGCCAAAATCAAAAGGATGATGATACTTCTGCGCTTTTTTATTTTGAGCACGATCTTCTATATAGCCTGTCTTGGCCTCAGACTGGTGATAATCCTCTGCGCTCAGCCTCCTAAGTACTAGGATTAGTCACATATCATATTACCTGGCTGGATTTTTTACTGTAAGAAAATACTAGCCTAGACTCAAAGTAGTACCAAAGGGGGAAAAAAACCCTCTGAATGGAGTTTTATCAGACATAGTATCTTTTTGTAGGAAAAATATATAATGAAGAAGACATTTCCCAATTATAGCATTACATGGAAAAAATGTGACTATAATTTGCTTAACCTGGTTTCTTAGAATGCCGTATAAGGGAAAGTATGGGCTATCTGTATAACAGTAAAGCTTAAGTTCTAGTAGAATTTTATCTACTGTTACTTCCTAGAGGGGGTAAAGGGCCGAGATAACCTCTCAAAATTCTTGACATTTTCATCTTTACTGGTAATGTCTTAAAATTAATTTGATTCAGGCATGATAGCACAGAGCTATAATCCCAGCTCTCAGGAGGCTGAGGCAGGTGGATCACTTCAAGTTCAAGGCCAACGTGAACTATATAACTAGACTCTGTCTCAAAAAAGATTAATTTGTAAAGCAATTATTTTTATCTGATCTACTTTGAAATTAAGTAGGATAGAAATGTTTAACTTCCTTAATAAAAAATCAATAATAATGATCAAAATTACAGAGACAAAGTGTCAAGTTTACATTGCCCTTTTTAAAGAAATGGATACCAGTTTCATACTTGAGACTATTTCCTTTAAAATTAAAAAATTTTTAAAAAGGAAAAAAATGCTGGCCGTGGTGGTGCACTCCTGTAATTCCAGCAATTGGGAGGCAAAAGAATTATTGTAACTTTGAGACCAGCCTGGGCTACAAAGTGACTCAAGGCCAGCCTGAACTGCATAGTGAGACCCTGTCTCAAAAAAACAAAAACATTTTTAAAAAATAAATAAAAGTATCCACCCCTAATGTTCTAGTTCCTTGTTTCAAAACTATATTGAATAATTATTACATACTGATCATTAGCTGTAGCAAAAGAAATACAGAATATACTTAACTAGTGAATTTATTTTCAGTTACATTTACTTACATGGTTTGTTGTTTTCTTTTGTCTTTTCTTAGCTGAAAATACTTCTTGATCAAGTTGAAGAAGCAGTGACAGATTTTGATGAATGTATTAGGTTGAGGCCTGAGTCTGCCCTGGCACAAGCTCAGAAATGTTTTGCATTGGTAGGTATTTCTTTTGTAATTTCTAAACATCATTTTTATTTCCCAGTATCAGCAACGATGAGTATTACGATCATCTGTTTTTCACCCAAAACAGAACTACAGGGAGGAAAACATGTTAGCCTATATGTTAATCGATGCTAGTTCTTGTATTTCTCTCGATATTTGAGTTTGTCCTAATAAATGTTTGTCCTGACATTTATACTGAACAGAGCTAGTCTCCCTGCTTCTCTATAGTAAATCTGAACAAAAAGTCAAATAGTGTATAATCATGACACCAATATAACTGCTCTTTTATCCCTCCTTTATAAGTTGTTTCTTAGTACTCAAAAACACAAAGCTAAGAAAGTAAAGTAAGTCCATTTCAAATAAAATTAAATATTTCCAGTTTCCCTATACCCAGATTCCTAAAAAAAAAAGAGTTTCCTGTTTTTCTTTTCTACTTAGGAGACTGAGGCAGGAGAATCACAAGTTAACAAAACCCTGCCTCAAAATTAAAAAATAAAAAAGACTGATGATACAGCTCAGTGATAGAGCATCCCTGGGTTTGATTCCCATTACTGCCCAAAAGTCAATGTTTAATTTCCCATCTTGTTTTTTTGGCTTTTTGAGACAGGGTCTTACTGTGCTGATGAGGGTGGCCTTGAGCTCACTTTATGGCCCAGGCTGGTCTTGAGCTTGCAACAGTTCCCCTGCCTCAGTCTCATACTGAGATTACAGGTGTGCTCTACCACACCCTGCTCAAAAAAAATATTCTTTTAAAGAAACTGTGACATAAACATTATAGTTGGAAAAAATTATAAAAGTTTTTTATTGTAGAAGTTCCCTTTTTATTTGTAAAGTTAACTTACTAGAAGGATGTATTCATGGTTTTCTCATATTTTGGCTCGCCTAAGCCACACTGAGTGAAGAGGAAGTCTTAGACCACATATAAAATACATAACATAGTTAATATATGTAAGTAGCAAAATTTTCTTTTTTGATGTTTTTCATTACAACATTTCTAATATTAGTAATGCTATATATAGTGATATCATAAGCAAAAAAGTATACTTTTTTGTACTTTCTACACCATAGCTGATCAAAAACTGTTTCAACTTGTGTATATACATGTATTTTTTTTAGTACATAGTTGCCATGCATAATGATTATATTCGTTGTGGAGAATTACTATCTATATATAACACCTCTTAATTTTTTTTCATCATTTCTCCCTCTTATTTTAACTGGATATTTTACAAAGTAGCACAAGCCCAAGTCTAATAAATAAGGAAACTTCTATGTCTGCTTAGTAACAATAAGCACCTATCTTCACAGGTACACATACTTTTAGGTAGGTTGAAATTCTGTGAAGTTTTACTCGCCAGTTTTCAGTAGCATGTCTAACGTCTGACACACCAGCCGTGTGGCAAGTGCAGAGACAGTAAGGACTGCACTGCTTTCAGTGATTACCAGTGCATTCCACACTAGAGAGCAGCAGCACATCAAATCATGAAAAATACTGCCAAGAAAGTCACATAATAATGTTAAAGTTACAGTGTTTTGGGTCACTACTAACCATCCCAGGCTGCATGTACCTTGCAGGTTGGACACATTTATAGATTATTGAGCACCTTAAAATTATGTAGTGGTTGAGGTTCTAGTTTAACAGGCTTTGGGTCCCTGCTCCTGAAGTCTTTTTCCTAGAATTCTTTTGGATGCACTCCATATAAGATTTATGTAATTTTGTATGTCTTTTACAATGTGTTAATACTCTAGAAGTTTTAAATTCTTGATTTGACAGGCCTATTTTAATTTTTTAAATAGTATCGCCAGGCATATACAGGAAACAATTCTTCACAAATCCAAGCAGCAATGAAAGGTTTTGAAGAGGTCATAAAGAAATTTCCAAGATGCGCTGAAGGCTATGCACTGTATGCCCAGGTATCTGTGACTTTTTAAATTGTTTGAAGAGATACATTGTATGCTGAAGCTCAGTATGGAAAGCAGGAAACAGTGCTCTCCTGGCTCGAACTAATGTGGAAGCAATTGGCTTTCTCCTTGCTTTGCTGATCTTGGCCCCCTGGACGATCCTAAATCTCACATCACGTTAGGAGAACCTCCCGTGTTATATAACTTGGAAACCATGACCTTAATCTCTTAAGGATTGGAAGATTAAGGCAAGCATTTGTCTTGTTTTGATTTGGATTGGATTTGTGAAAAACATAATTACTTTAGAAAAAATGTACTGTGTATAGTTGGTAGCAAACATATCTATCCATGAAAAGGTTTACTTCTGTTGGATCATCATCCTTTTAATGGTAAACTAGACTATAACTGCTTCTCTAAAGTTTTTAGAGTTTTCTTCATTTAGGATTGAAATTATGAAAAGTAGAATTTAAATTATAAACTTTTATTGTGGTCTGAAATTCTTAAAGACTTACTTCTAAATTTAAAATCTTCTGTTTCATTGAAAACGATTTATGTCTTACTTTGTTCCCTCAAATAAATGATCTCTAAATGAGCGTTTTCTTCATTTTTAAGTTGGAAATTGTTTTGGTACCTGTATAAACCCAGCCATCTCAATATTTTTTAGCTTGTTCCTTTTATTCCAAAAGAAATGTTGGAGCTTTTCCCCGTCAAACATCACAGAAATAAGAAACATTGAACAGTTTTCCTAGTAAACTTCTAAGCCATTCTTTGCTTTTTAATTTGCTTCATGCTATCTTTAGGCAAGTTCTAAGAAAAATTTATGGAGGAGGTTGAGGATTTATTGAGGGAGACTGCATTGCATCTAATCATCATGGAATTCAGACAAATTTTGGTGTCGATTTCTATGAGGATATAAGACAACAAAGGGCACTGAATAGCTTTTTAAAAAGTAAATGCTAGTAAGTGTGAGGTCACGAGTTTGATCCCTGGTACCAAAAAAACAAACAAACACTACAAAACTTTTCTGTAGGATGTTCCTCAGTTGTACATTTTCCTGTTTTACTCTGAAATGTTGACTTTTGTGAGCAGCTTACCTCATCAGCACTTGCATTATTGTAGCCATTTACACTTTCTATTTTAGCCATGAAATTAGTCTTAAAAGTAGTTGATTGTTGCTTTTATTTTGCTGCTTTTATTTTTAATCAATCGTTTTTAAGGAATGATTCTGATGATAGTTAACACATACATCTTAAGTTACCCTTTCAAATGAATATTGCCCTTAAAATAATTGCCTTAAAATATATAAGGCATATATATAAATGAGTTTATTTAAACATGAGTATACTTGTGTGAATGTGATACTGAAGTGAGATTTTCTGTCACTAAGTGGGATTTTCTATATTCTGCCGCTTTATTAGATTATCTGATTCCATATAACTGCTTGGAGAAAAAAGATTTTATGTTTGCAAGAATGCCTTCATAGACCCAATAAAAAGCAGTTTAAATAATTATTTTAAACCTCATAATTTGGTAACAAATGAAGTCAACTTTAATAATTAAAAGCAGTGTACTTTTGATTGTTTAGGTTAACACTTACCTTAATTAAAATATCTCCTCACAGGCCTTAACAGATCAACAACAATTTGGTAAAGCTGATGAAATGTATGATAAATGCATTGATTTAGAGCCAGATAATGCCACAACATATGTTCATAAAGGGTATGTATTTTGTGGTTCTGTTTGTTCCAATAATATACTAAATTCCCTACGGTGATAATAAAATGACTTTCTTTTGACCTTTGAGGAAACAGGATTGTAATAGAGAAATATCACTACTTAAGTGACCAGTGTCTTGTTTCTTTCTTTCTTTCTTTCTTTCTTTCTTTTTTTTCTTTTTTTTTTTTTTTTTTTAATTTTGAGACAGGATCTCACTATACAGTTCAGGCTGGTCTTGAACTCACTTTGTAGCCCAGGCTGGCCTCCAGCTCACAATGATCCTCCTGCCTCAGCCTCCTGGGTGCTGGAATTACACTTGCACAATTTCTTAATACTTGTGGATGTTATTTTATTCTTATATAGAAATTAGTAGATGTAGTATTTTCACTCTAGAGTAAGGATTTTTGGTTCTGAACATCCTGTCAAATGTTGCTTGTATCAAAATAGAAAATATAGATGTTTTTCCTGTTCATGTACTGGAATATAAGAATTCTCACTTTATAGAAAGGAAAAATGAGGGATATGAGCTGTCAATAGAAGAATAGTGCTGGGGATTTAGCTCAGTGGCATAAGCACCTGCCTAGCAAGTGCAAGGTCTTGAGTTCAATCCCCGGTACGACAAAAAAATAGTAGAACCTAGCCAGTGGTGCATAAGCTGCAGCAGGCACAAGAGCCCTCTCTGTTGGCAGAAGAAGAACCAAGTCACCTCAGCATGGCCCTGCAGCCGAGCACCAGATAAATAGCAATCACAGGGCAGTGATGGCACTTCATGATAAATGAGAGGGTTTGGGGCTGCAGTTTGGGCACTGAGTCTCTAAAAAATTTTCCATCACTGACTTAGCCATATATATATATATATATATATATATATATATATATATATTTTCCCCTTTCTTTGTTTCGGTGGTGATCAAACCCAAGGCCTTGAACATACTAATCCTCCACACTACTGCAAGTTCCATCCCCAGCTCAACTGCTTTTCATAATAAGGAACTTCTTACATGTTTACTGAGGATATAAAATGAAATCATAGGCATTTATTTTCCTTTTGATACTGTACCATGATCATATCTGACTATTTCTTTGCATTTGCAGCTTGCTTCAGCTTCAGTGGAAGCAAGATTTGGATAGAGGTTTGGAGCTTATCAGCAAAGCTATTGAAATCGATAATAAATGTGATTTTGCATATGAAACCATGGGAACTATTGAAGTGCAAAGGTAACTTCTAGAATCTGTCCCTACACATTATGCCAGCTCCATGTATGTCATTCTTATTAACGTATGTTATTGTCAGTATCCATTAAATTTTTAAAGTTTGTTCTACCTTTGGATATAAGATTCCCTCAAAACCATGCAACTTGGCAGGGATTTAGCTCAGCAGCATAGGTGTTCACCTGGCAAGTGCGAGGTTGTGAGTTGGGTTCCCGGTACAAAAAAAAACAAAAAACTATGCAACTGATTTGCCTTATTGTGTTATTCTTCTGAACTAAAAGTTACACTTACAAAAGCTGTTTTAAGTCAGACTTACACATAGGAAGAGAAACTGGATATTTCTCTAATATATGTGTGTTCTTTCTTTTTCACCTAAATTATTCCTATTGGAAGGGGAAAAAAATCTTGTAATGTGTTTTCTAGGCAGAACAGAATTAACAGCATTGGCAGCTAGGGTACCTCAGGTTTGAATCTGTCTATAAAGAAGCAGCCAGCCTAGTGACTGGGCAAGTTCAACATTTTCTCTGAGCCTCTGAGTTTTCTTTAAAATTTGGTGTAGGCCAGGCATAGAAGCACATGCCTATAATTCCAGCACTTGGGAGGCTGACGTAAGAGGATCACTGCCAAGTCAAGGCCAGCCTAAACTACATGGCAAGACCCTCTCTCAAAAATAAAGAAAAAAATTGGGTTTGGCCAAGTACTGAACTTCAGGTGTCCTCCAGATGTTCAGTTGATCTATCCCCTCACCTTTGTAATGGTGGAGATCATATGATCCCTAGTTTACTTGACAAATGCAGACATAATGCCCAGATGGACAGGACTGCATAGTAAGCCAGCAGTCAAGACAAGATTTGATTCATATTTCATCGATACCAGTCTCTCTGATCTTGCCATCTTATCTTGTCAGGAACCAGCATGAATTATTTTATTTTTTATCATTCTTTCTTTCCTGAATTCTTCTCTCCTGTAGAGTAACCAGAAAAGATAGGTGGGTGCATGGGTGAAAGGAAAAGATGGTGTGGTTCTTTGAGAGGAAGAGGGTTGTTTTGGGGTTTTTTGAGACAGGGTCTCACTACGTAGTCCAGACTGGCCTTGAACTCATATATAGTTCAGGCTGACCTCGAATTCACAGTGATCGTCTTACCTCAGCCTCCTGAGTACTGGGATTACAGGCATGCGCCATCATGCCTATGTGGTTCTTTTGACAATTCTATACTGACAGTTGCATGTAAATACCAAATTATTTCTTAATTGCCTTGTGCAAATATATAAAAATATTCTCTTAACAGAGTAGGATAGGACAGTGTTTCCAAACCTTTGAGCCAAACTCATTTCCTAGAATAGTGTACATATAAAAACAATTTGCATTAGTGGGACATGGTGGCACACACCTGTAATCCCAGAATTTGGCAGGCTGAGGCAGGAGGATCATTGCAAATTTAAGAACAGCCTGGACCACACAGTGAGTTCAAGGCCATCCTGAACTGCATAAGACCCTGTGTCAAAAAGACAAAAAAATATTTTTTGCATTTAATTTGAAGCATTTATAGAACCTGGATTAAAGACCTGATTTACAGCGTATGATTGAATTTTGTGTTGTTTTAAGAAGTCTGTTGTAAATCTTACCTTACAATTAAATAAATGGGAATGAAGGAGAAAGTAGCTGTGAATTGCTTAATCTGAGAATGTTTGAAATTTTGTTCTTTCAGAGGAAACATGGAGAAAGCCATTGACATGTTCAACAAAGCCATTAATCTGGCCAAATCAGAAATGGAGATGGCACACCTGTATTCCCTTTGTGATGCTGCCCATGCCCAGACAGAAGTTGCAAAGAAATACGGGTTAAAACCGCCAACATTATAAAACAAGGGGAAAGGAGACTGACCGACCTTCTTTTTAAAAGAAGTTTACTCCCTCTTCAACTGAACCATAAACACAGTCATGAACATGTTGAATGGTGGAATTGAGTATTCCCCTTTGTGGTGTCAATCATTACATCTGTTTCATGTTTAAGTGTTGTGGGCGTGGCTGTCAAAGGAAGTTTTTGGTCTTGCAGCTTTTATTCCCTGTGCAACAAAAGCTTAGAACCTGTTAAAGGGATATTAAAATACAGTTGCAGAGTTCAAAAAATAATTGGCCATGCAAATAAAAACTTTGATTTATTGATTTGTTTTTGGTTTTATTTAATGGGATTGGGGATTGTTATATTCTGGATGATTTTGACTTTATGTGTACAATATATGAGTATTTACATAATGTTTTTAAATTAACACAGTAAGTGTTGTAAAATAGATTCCTATATTCAAATAATCCTTTTTAGTTGATTTTTTTTAAGGATGCAGAACTTAAATATAGATTACAGTAAAACTGAGACCCTTTAAATCATTGTCAGCATGGAGAATGCCTCTGATCCTGCAGAACTTTAAAAACTGAAAATCTGTAGCAGTTGGTTTCCATACAGTAAATTATTCAGAAATAAAATATTCTGATTGCTATATACAAATATATGAAGACTCCTAGTGAGAAATGGACCAGAAAAAGAGGTAAGAGGAAAGCAAGTGTGTTTGTAATTATCCATAGCTATTTTGTGTAATGAGTACTGCTACTTAATGTATGTTTAAATAAAGTATGAATTGTTTATGTGTACAGTCGGAACAAAGATGAAATAAGTGGGATATGTGGGAGTATTTATCATAAATTTTCTAGTGAACAAAAGGTGGCTAAAGGTTCAAAAAGAATATAAATCTTGTACCCAAAGCAGAGTATTTTTTGAAAATGACAGATTTAATGCGTTAAACTACCTGTGCTTAAATAAAATTTTGAGCCAGTATTTTTAAGCATGCTAATAAGTACATGTAAAGTGTGTTCTGTTGAACCTTAACCTAGGACTAATGGCCGCAGCCCAGGTCTTCACTGCAGATAGTGACAGCAGATTTTTGTTTCATGGAGTTCTGCTCCTTATTTCGGGAACCACTTTAAGGTGTATTTCTAGTTGTCACTTTTATAGACCATCCTTTTACTCATATGCTGGATTTTTCTGATGAGGAAGTGACTGTTTTCATAAAAAGTATTTTGAGGTGTCTGGGACATGGAGAGATTTAAGATGTGAGTATAATAAAAGAGCAAGCTTTCTGTTACACTTGTCAAGAAATGAAGTCTAGTTGTTGACAATAAAGAAGCATTTTGCCCTCTTTAACAGGGTGCTTTATTCTATTAAAAATGATTTTGTTTACAAATGCTGTCATGGTAGAAATTATTCACCTTTCAAGATCAGGCTTTGAAAAGATTGAGGAGGCCTCTGGCTGATTTCAGTAGGGGCAAATGAGTTGACTGAGACAATGGGAAGTTGGAAAGCTCTGTATTTTGTTTCTAAATTATGGCAGTCCTTAAATGCAGACATGTTCTACATCTCTGATCTGACTTTAAAAAAAGTTTTTATTTGCATGGCTGTAATTACATTAATACTGATGTGTCCTTCCCATCTTCCTTTTTTCCCCTTGGGGTTGGATAGGAAAAAAACCCTGAAGCATGTGCCATTCTTTACAGTCATTCCAGATTCTCACAGACCGTTGCCTGTTGTGAAAATATTTGAAACTGCACTGAAAGCTGCATCTGTCTGTATCTTTTCTTTTGTAAATGACCTCACATGTAAATTCACCAAATAAATATTACCTTCAAGCTTTCTATCTATTCTTTGAACAGAAAGATAGGTAGTTTGTTCATTTATGATAGTATTGGGTAAACTCGGTCACTCTCTTGTGGCTTCAGATTTAAACGGTAGTTTCCTTGGAGAACCAGCTGACTTAACTCATTACCTGCATCTGCACTGTACTTGCACAGCAGCATAGAAGGTTGCAGATCAGACCTGGGATTTAGGCTAGCTAAGTTCTCCTTCAGGTCCCATTGGTGAGATCATAGTCCTCCATCACCTGGAGTCTTTGTTTTTTTTTTTTTTTTTTTTTACCATAAAAAATTTAAGCCTTTTTATTTATTTTTTTGATTTTTTTTTAAATTTTATTTAAGGAGAAAAGAAAAAAAAAGCAGAGAAAGGGTACAAGTTATACAGATTTGCAGAAAAAAAATGAACAGTAGGAAATTACTAGTTAATGGATTACATATTGTCATCTTAGAAATAATTGTTCAAGTCACAAAATTAAAGCTTGTAAAGTGGACATTCCATCAATGATACTGCAAACAGTTCTGTTCAATGATCCAATAAAACTGTGATATCATATTCTATCTTATACACTTAAATATACATGCAGTTATATAGTTTAGAGTACTTTCTTTTCCTCTCCTTTGTACAATGACTATTACACATTTTGGGTTTCATTGCTCCCACGGTTCTTATTGCTTTTTTGGAAGAGAGTAAAACCAAATGAGACATAACAGAACAGAATCGGTCAAGTCAAAAGGGTGGACATAATAGATAATGTGAAAACATAATACAAGGTGATCAACAATGGTTACCATAATGCCTCCCGCTATCTCTAATAGAATTGCCTATACCATTAGTTATAATACAATTGAACAAAACAGTAAAGAACAAAACCCACAAAGCCAAACCGTTGGAGACATTGTAGGTCTTCAAAAGTAGATAAAAGTCAACGAGAATGGGCGTTATAATGAATCTCATTATCTTCACAGCTGATGCCTAAATTTTCGAACCTGATACTATCCAGCAAAACAGAATAGAGGAACCTCAGTCAAAAACAAGATGGTGAGAGTAATACAGGGCTTTAAATCGAGGTAATGGAAAGTCAAAGTGGGTTACTATAATATATCCTGCTATTTTTTTTCCTTTAATTAAAAGGATAAAAATTTTTTAAAAAAGTATTAAAAAAGTAAATAATGGAGTGGAGATTGAGATAAAAGAGGGCATAACAACGAAACAGCACAGATCAAAACATAACCATTTAAGCAGAATAGTGTTTCACCACCAGATAATCCTGACCTAAAAGTAGTTACCATATTGTCTCTTTCCTTGAAATCCTTGAGTACAACTTCGTATACTGTAGCATTAAGTATATCAAAACAATGTAAAACCATTTAAGAGAATGACAGCATTACAGAGTATTTAGAATCGACTAACAGAAAATGAATAATGGTTTCTGTATAATCTCCTTGTCTTTAAAAGGTTTTTGCTTATACTATCATACATAATAAAATCCAGTAAGATACAACCTATTTAGACCATTGGAGACAGAAGGACAAAAGCTAGATGAGACTTCAAAACTAGATGATCTAAATCAGTATTACCTATTAAGATGTCATTTTCTCCAAAATAGCTGTTCCTATCATCCAATCTTCTCTGCCTCATTTCTGTTGAGCTCTTATTCTGTCAATAGCTGTCAGTTTGTCTTCACTTTGTTCTCTGCTCCATTAGTTGTGGCCTCCACTATTTCTGGATTCTTTGTATTTTTCTTTTTTTAAAATATCCTGCAATACTCTCTGTAGAGTTGAACTGGTGGTTGCAAATTCCCCCAGTTCCTCTTTATCCTGGAAGCACCTTGTTTTTCCATCAATTTCCAGGGACAGTTGTGCAGGATATCTCAATCTTGGCTGGAGATTATTATCTTTCAAAGCTTGAATTATTTCCCCCCATGCTCTTCGTGATTTGATGGTTTGTGCAGAGAAATCTGCTGTAATTCTGATGGGTGTTCCCTTGTAAGTGATCTGTTTCTTGTCTCTGACAGCTTTTAATATTCTGTTCTTGTATTGAATTTCTGGAATTTTTATTATGATATGCCTGGGTGTTGCTCTGTTAGGGTTGTAGGTAGCTGGGGTCCTGTATGCCTCATACATCTGAGTATCTTTACCTTTTGCTAAATTAGGAAAATTCTCCTGGATTATTTCTGTGAGTAGCTTTTGTAGTTCATTTGTTTGTGTCCCTACTTCTTCTTTTATGTTCTTAATCCTTAAGTTATGGATCCTCTTATCATCTTCTTGTCTTTGTATTATTGCTGTTTGTTTCTTTGTTATTTTTAAGAAGTTTTTCATTTCATTCTCCCATATTACGAATCTGCCCTCCAGTTCAGATAGTCTGTCATTAGTTTCTTTCAAGCTGTTATGCCAGTCTTCGATAGACTTCTTAGTTTCTTGGTAGTCCCTTTGAACCTGCTTCACGTATTCTATGCTTTCCCTGTTTTCTCCATCAAACAATTCTCCCCTCTTTTTCTGTTCTTCCATTCCACCATCTGTTTTTTCTTGGGTGGGGCTTAGCATTTCTCTAACTATTTTGCATACTTCTAGCTTCAGGTCGTTGATAACTTCATTCCTGAATTGGTCTATGAGGCTCTCTATATGGCGCCTTATGTGTAATGGTGCGGTGTCTGCTATTGCCTGTTTCTCAGAATTAGGGGCCGAGGAGCCTTTCTTGTTGCTGCCTCTTCCCATATTCTCTGTTCCTTATATATGCAAGCTTATATGAGAGGCCCAGCTTCTCTCCCTGTCAGCCACAGCCTGATCGAATTGCCCCGGTTAGGTGTTCCCACTCACCGCTGTGCACCAGGCAGCCTACGCGGGGGCCTGCCCCTCCCGGCCTCCGTCAGTCTCTGGGATCTGGTTTGGGCCAGCCTACTGGGTCTGCCGGCAGCGTCACGCAGGCCAGGCACTTTTCACCAATCCCGCCCGAGAGGGGGATGTGTGGCTGGAGTCTCCACTGCACCCTGCTCCTGCAGGACTGCTCGGGCCCAGAAAGTCCGCTGGAGTCAAACTGTGGTGGAGTGTCAGTTTCTCTCACTCACCTTGCCACAAGTCAGAACATGCCTCCCTGCCCGTCCTGTTTTCGACTCCGTTCACAGACTCCCGTTCTCAGAGTTTCCGCGCGTCTCTCTCCTTGCCGAGCCGATGTAGAGGCAGCCAGCCACTGCGTGGCGGGAAACCCAAATCGCGGCTTCCAATGGCGCAGGGTCCAGCCTCAGCAGCGAGACTTTTCTGTTCCTGTTTTAGCACCAGGACTGCATTCCAAGTTGGTTTCTCTCAGCCCATTTCGTTCCTGAGTCAGCAGAGCATAACTCCACCTGCTTATGTCTCTTTAGTCTGCACCATATCTGGCTTCTGAGCCTAGTTTTTCAGAGAGCCTCCGGTAGTTGCTGTTATCTGTCCGCCATGTTCTCCCGGAAGTCCACCTGGAGTCTTTGGAAAGCATACTTCCCTACCCTTGATGATGTGATAAAATCTTAAGAAGCTTTCATTTTAAAATACAATTTAAGCAGAAGATCCGTAGAACAAATTGAAGTCTATTTAAATTGCAGTTTAAATAGTACTTTGTATCTATAGAAGTCAACAGATTATAATCTTAATGTTATTTGTACTCAAGAAGACTGTATAATTCAAACCAGAAAATAGTGTAAAAGTAATAATTAGCCAGGATACAGCACAGCAGCACAGTACCCATCTGGCAAGTGCAAGATTCTGCGTTCAACTTCCGGTACCCCACCTCCTCCAAAAGAGTGATTAAGTCCAAATTGGGCATAGTGATTCACACCTATAATCCCATCTACTCAGGAGGCTGAAGCAGAAATAATCACAAATTCAATATCCACTTGGGCAGTAAATCAAAATAGGGTACCAGTAGATGGGTTTGTTTGCTTGCTTGCTTTTTTTTTTTTTTTTTTTTTTTTTTAAGAAAAGAACTCACGATGACTATGTATTTCATACTGGCAATCCTCCTGCTTCAGCCTCCCAAGTGCAGGATTACAAGCATGTACCACCATGCCCCACAAATGGGTTTTTATGGTTTTTGTATTTGTTGTTCTTTGAGTCAGAGTTTTCACTGTGTAGTGCAAGCTTGTCTCCAACTCATTACATAACCTGAACTGGCCTCAAATTACAGCAGTCCTACCTCAGCCTCCAAAGTGCTAGGATTATAGGTATGCACCACCATGCCTGGCTTTGGTCTTAACTTACAAGTGTTTGGGGAAAGAAATGGATAGCAATTCTACCTCTAGTTCTCTGCTAAATTGATTTTTTTTTTTTTTTTTTGCTAAATCAACAATAAGATGACAATTTTAGTATGTTTGTAAGCTTTAACACACTAATTGAATGAATAATGGTCCTCCAAAAGAACTACATCCTTATCTTTGGAACTTGAGAATATTACTTTATAGGACACAAAGTGAATTTACCTCTTTCACAACACAGAAACTAATACTTTGGCTATTTTATATAAGGTTTATAGTCTTAAAAAGTCTTGCTGGAAATGATGGCATCTACCTGTAATCTCAGCACTTGGAATGAGGCTACCATGAGTTTAAGACCGCCATGGGTTACACAGTTCAAGACAAGTATGCGAGAGCCTGTCTCAAATAAATCTGAGTATCCCAAAGTAGAGTCCATATGGACTTAAATTTTGGCCAAAGGTGGTTTAGGCAGTGAGTTCACACAAGAGTTTTAGTCAAGAGTCAGGATATTTGTGATGTAAAATAAGTTTGATCATGGTATAATCATCAGGCCAAAAGGCTGCCTTTCATGTGTGAAATAAAAGTTAAGATCAGTATCTCTGAAGATACTATATTCAAGTGTTTTAAAATTTAGAATTAGGCATGAAAATAGAGTGATTTAAGGTGAGGTAACACAAATTATACTTGGTATTTTAATCTGTTATCTCAGACCCTTTTAGATGGTTTTCTTGCCTAGGAACCTGTTGAGTGTTAGGACGAGAGTAGCTGTGGTAC